GTCCCAGGAAGCGCTCATCACTGCCAAACTGTGAATGATTGACACACGATTTAGCACACCCATCGTGGGTCTCTTCCAGGCTTCTCGTCCACCCTGCAAGGTAAGCATTGCCGTCTACGATCATCAGCCTCAAAGCTCAGAAAACACAACGCAGCCCAGGTCACAGGTAGAACTGCAGGGGACAGGAACCAGGCTGTGGGGCATGAGCCACAAGCTCCTCCAGCTGCTGCGAATTCCAATGACCCACACTTGCTGGCATTTGCTGAGTTCACACTCTGCTGGGCCCTGGGCTCATCATTGCTCCTTCAATTAGTGCCCTGAAGTCCCTCAAAGGAGGAGGCCGTGTAATGAGCGGCACCCTCGAGGCGTCAGGGCAGAGCCTGGCGTGTAGTGAACTCCGTAAGGCGGTGGCCATTCCTTAGAACTGTTCTGAGTAACAGAAAAACTGAGAAGACAGTGCAGAGCGCGTCTGAGGACCCCACGCCCAGTTTTCCCTATAAGTAGCATCTTACATGATTTCAGCACATTTGTTACAATTAGTTAAACCTTTGTGAATCCGTCTTGATTCACTCATTCTATATTAGTGCAGGCTGAGTAGCCTCATCCCAAAATCTTGGAACCAGAGTGTTTCAATTTAGGGAATTTTTTTGGATCTTGGAATATCTGCATGTTTATATTAAGATATCTCGGGAAGGGAACGCAATAGTAAACACAAAATTCATTCATCTTTCATATATATCTTATGCACGTAGCTTGAAGAATATTTCAAACGTACCTGTGTTTCAACTGTGACCATCACATAATACTGAGGGTAGAATCTTCCACTAGTGTTTTGTGTCAGCACTTAAAAAGAGTATTTCAGATCTTGGATTTTCAGATTAAGATGTTCATCAGAAGCAGGGTGCAGTGGCACACTTCTGTAATCTCAGTGGCCTGGGAGACTAAGATAGGAGGATCGTGAGTTCAAAGCCAGCTCAGCAACAGCAAGGCGCTAAGCAACTCAGTGAGACTGTCTCTCTAAATAAAATACTAAATAAGGCTGGGGATGTGGCTCAGGTGCCAAGTGCGCCTGAGTTCAATCCCTGGCCCCCACCCCTAAAGGAAAAAAAAAAAGATGCTCATCAGAAATGGCCTTCAATTAACTGGCTTAATCCTGGTTAGGCCATGAAGAGCTTGTCACAGAGGACGCACCTGTGGCCCCTATTGGCCGTGAGCTCCTGGGGCAAGGCCCTCTCCCTGTGGGTCTAGCTGAAGGTGGGGAGGAAAATAATGGGGGCTTCTCTTCCCCTCAGTCCTGAGGTCCCCGTGCAGGCAGGAGGCCCTGGGGGGCTGTCAGGGCTGGAAGGGGATGGTGAGGGGCTTGGGAGGGAGACAGGCCCCAGGTCTTCAGGGCACCTCCCAGCCATGGATGCTGACCCTTAGCCCACCTGCAGCCTCGTCTTTTCTAGAAAGCCCCTCCTCCAGCCCTGGGCAGCTACAATCACTCTATGAGCAGCGTCAACCCCCAGCTGCTGCGAGCTGGAGAACCAGGGAGTCTGGCCAAGGCCTGCCTTCTGAGCAGCCCCTGAGGGCCCTGGCTGGGAGGGCGCTCTCCTCTGCTTTGGGGCAGGAATTTCTCCACTGCCCCTGCGGGGCCAGGTGGGCATTCCCCCAGGTGGGCCCCCTTTGTCCTCAAAGGCTGCCACTTGCCGCCTCCCCCATATAAGTCCTCCCCTGCTCCAGTGGCAGAGCAGCCAGTGGGGGCTGCTGGAGAGGTCTGCGCGTACCTGACTGCGGGAGCTTCCACCATGACCGGGCGTTTCTATGGCATCTTGCTGCTGATGGCTGCAGCCACCCTGGGGCTGGGTCAGGGGCCGTTCCCCAAGCTCAGCCTCCCAGGCCTGTGGCACAGCTATGACTGTGGGATCCGGGGCATGCAGCTGCGTGTCGTTCCAAGGCCAGGCCAGACAATCCGCTTCAAGGTGCTGGGTGAGTGCCGGGAGAACCCTGGTCCCCTTCCCCTCCCGGGCTGCTGCTGCTAGGAGGACCCTTCCCCTGGAGCCAGGCTGGAAGAGCAGAGGCATCCCTCCCGATAGGGGTGACCAGCCCCCTCCACATAAAGGTGGGCAAGGGAGGGGGGTCACCTCCCCCTGGTCACCAGCCACTTCT